CTATTGTATCCTAAGAAGGCTTGGATCTGCTTGGCATGGACCAGGTGACAAGAATGGAGTAAAGTGAGACGTTCTTTCTTTAATCCCCTGTAGTCTTTCTGATTGCCATAAGCCATAGAGATAGGAAGCAGAACTTTTTATATAAAATTTCATTCTGTTGTACATTTAAATCACTTGTATTAATAAGGAATAAAGCTACAAAACATTGATTTTAATTACTTATACAAATCAGGTAAATATATGAAACATCACAGATATGTCCAAACATGTATAAAAGTTAATTTATATTTACTCTACAAAAGTTTTTGCTATTTTGGATGGGAAGATTCAGAAAACTTTGAAATTAATTACTCCTTATATCTTCACAATGACCTGGCTTCGTGACAATTTACTGTTGTTTTAGCTAAAGGTCAGAGAAACTTGAGACTGTAGATGCAGGCAGATAATTTAACCTAAGGCTCATTTTTTTTATCACTATAATGAAGATAATATAAGTCAAATGTCATCTGAAATTTAAGCAAGCACAACACTTCGTACAGTATACACAATGAGCGCTCTATCATGGCAATTATTACTATCTTCTATTTTAACCAATTATTCTGAAAAGCTTCATCAAGTTCTTTTGATCTTTACTTAGTTCTGAATAACTAAAATGATTCAAATAATTTGGGCGATTTCAGCTGGCTGGATTCAAACAGAAGTCTTTGCACAAACAATATTTAACATATGCATGCACAATATATACATAGTAATCATTTAAAAGCAATGAAAATTATTAAAGGCAAGACATGGATTGAGTTTCTCTTGAGGTGAGGGTTAAGGTGGTATTCTCATGAGAACTCCAAGATAAGCTTACTGAATTGAAACAGGAAGCTGTCATAAGGCTGCATAGAAGTCTTACATTCCCTCAATCAATAGACACATGGAAATACCTTTATAAAGTGTGCACATGGGCATACACTCCAGAGATTAATTGAGAAGACTTGGTTTATCTCTTCTAACAAACGTTGGTTAAATTGCATTTTCTTTTTCTCCTGGACTATCAATAGTTTTCCTTTTTCAGATTGAATACATAAATCAAAACAACATATTTCATGAACAAACTATGATTATGAAACTCCTATTCTTTATCTATCGATTCCTAAAACATTATTTACCATGCATTTTTCCTTCATTGTGTCAGGTTAGAACTACTCTTTTTCGCATTATTGTAGCTAGAACCATCTGTGACTCAAATTGTCAGTGTATCTAGGTCCCTTCAAAACAGCATAGAAAAATGTGTATAATCTCATTGCAAACCATTTCTTGCTTCTATAGTTGCAGTATTTCACAATTTTAAACTATAGTAATTGTTTTACTGCACTGTGGCATAATTACCAAATGGTCACTATACTAATGATTCTTGGATGTTATTTGTCCACAAAATGTGTGGTACTGCTTAAAGAAAAACAGTATTTTCATAGAAACCTCTCACTGAGGTTTTATTTTTAAATGATAGGCAACTAAATGTGAATATACTTCCCAGTAATTTTGCCTACCAATCCATAACAAACTGCTGAAGCAAAAATCTTTTTACGTATTTCAAAAGTTTTTCTAAAAGAAAATCAGAAGAGAACTCTTACAGTAACTATAGCATGTGCTGATTCAATATGAAAACTAAGCCTTAAAAATCTGCTAATATTATCAGTGTTCCCCATTTGATAATAAAAAGTCTGAATTGATTTTTTCCACTTTTAGTACAAAAAATATGACATAACGAATTTCAGCTTGATATAATTTGAAATAGCCAATATATTAAACCCCAAAGTGAAATTTAAATTGGCAATCATGTCAGATTCAAGTCCCTGAATGAATATTAATTTAAAACTAATCATTTTCCAACAGGTTGAGGCTTCAAAATGCTAGTTCTTGAATAAAAGCTGTTAGATCCATTACTATAACATGAGGCATTTTTTGTTTAAGAAACTAGACCTCTAATGTTCATTATGCCTGCCTCTTCCAGCATATTTTTTTGCCCAGGGATTTCATTACTTAAAACTCATTTCTTTTTTCTGAATTTGGGAAATTACAGTTCTGATTTTACTGATGGAAAGCTGACACTAAGTGACCTGTCTGAGGTAAGGTATAAGGTCAAATCTGTTGATTAATTTTATGTCACTAGAACTTTAAAGTCTGGCTTCAGAGCCAATTCAATGAGTAAAGGTGTGTTTTATTTTTATGCATGCACACACACACACACACACATTCCATATAAATTCATGGATTTGTGACTCTATTGGAGGATAAGTAAAAATATACATACATGCTAATTACAAACTTGCGATTTGAAACTTGGCTAACCCAGATTATCAGTTATATATGTTCAATCCTATACCCAGCATAAGGGAAGTCCCTGATCCCAAAATCAAATAGAATATGGATGCACTACATAATAATGCAACAGTGAATATGTTACATTTTATATTAAAATATATTCTTTCCAGTTATACGGTGAAAGAATTACAAACTGCACTTGTCCATATCTTGGCCATAAAATCTACCAAAAAAAAAACCTGTTTCTGTGTAAATACCAGAAACCATGGAAGGATAGAAAAAATCATAAGTCTGACTGTCAGCTGATGCAGCTATCTCTGTCTCCTACTGTCTAGACAACCCTATATGCAATTCAACAGCTTTCCATACATTAATATAGAGTGTATATATTAATCCACACTCCACTTAAACTTTTTTAAGGTAGAATTCAAGGAAGCCTCATTTTGTTCTTCAGGTCCAATCCTCCTACTACATAAGTAAGGTAACTGAGACAAATCAATTTGTTAAGACTACAGAGTAGCATTACCAGAATCTGATTTCCCTATTCTAATCTCTTATTCTTGCCACTACTTTATAAAGCAACTTTTAAGGAAGGAGCACATTCCTTATTAAATATTTGTAATATGAGTTATAATAAATTTCACAATTATAATACATATAGACTATCTTATATGCATTCAGACTGGTGTCCAATTTAAAAGAACCCTATGCAGATCTCTAATGTAAAGTAAATAATTACTCTTTAGTTTTCATTTGGATGAATCCAGAATCTCATAATTCTGGGTACCCTGAAATCTATCAATAAATGCCAGATGAATAAAAATGGCCGACTTGCATGGTTTGTTTAATGTTTATAAAATGTTTAGTTCTGCAGTTTTAATGTAAAATATAGCATGGGGGAAAATACTTATGTGAAAATAAATAAATAAAAGGATTGCACAAATTGGAAAGGACAAGTTTTCCCCTGATAGTCAAACAGTTATGAAGTAAAGCAGTCTCCCTAAATCATAAGTACTTTAACCTTTCCTTGAAATAAGGGTAAGATTTAAAGATTCATAAAGATATTTTGCCTAAACTAGGAAATGTTTCGTATTTGACATGTACTGAAATGATAATGCTGATTTCAATAGGCACACTAAGAGCCTTTTTACTCCCAGGAGAGTAATTCAGTCATGGTTACCTGTTCACATTTGGATTTTCAACTTTCTTTGCAAAGCATTTAATGTACTACTGCCTGACAAAACATGGCACAGTTGCACTGATAAGGCAAATTAAAAGCAGGTAGGAAGAACAGTTTAAACCGCTGTTGATAGGAAGATACGCAACAAACATACCTATTTGAAACTCTGTATTCCCTTTCTTCAGCAGTTTCTATTTCCACATTTTTAACATTATAACCAATTCTGTTGCACTGGCCAGTGGTGAAATGCACAACTTCAAGATATAGAACAAATCCTTCCCTTACCTGCCACTGCTTTTATGTAGACCAAGAACTGACAAATTGAAGCCAGCATGTGTTCTAGACAGAGCCTCATATCAGACATGACCCACCCTTCTATAGGTCCTTCCAACAATGATGTAGAAATGTTGCTCCCTCTCAACTGTTTGCTAAACTCATAGCCTAACTAAAAGCTGAGCCGACAAGGCCTAACATGCTGATTGGATATTCCTTTGTCAGTACCATCCTATGGAAATCAATCACTGTTACCTCTCTGCTTATATTTTAAATTTTCTTGCTAAGGTTTTTAATGCGCTAATATGCAAATACATGGCAGAATTTCACAGTTAGCATCAGGCAAAACCAAGATATGTACAAAGTATATTAAATCCTCCAGAATGATATCAATATGGCATAGACTTTAAAATCCAACTACCAATTCTCAAGACCCTCTAAGGAAATCTACTTACTATCTGTTCCAGGTTGGAGAAAAAAAGTGAGATATCAAAGATTATTTTCATAAAATGAATGAGGGTGCAAATGCCATCTAGTATAAATGGGGTTCCTTTGGACCCTCCTATGAAAGCATATCCTGGAGACAGTACCTCTGGTATGAAAGGCCAGGGTGCTTTTGGCTGCACTGGGCCATTCATGTGCCCTGAAGAAATAAAAGGATAAACTGCCTCTACTCCTGGGAACTGTAAAATCCAGACACCTCACAGTTAGCTCAGCCTCAGCAGCTTCCAAGGTTAATACAAACGGTGGTTGACAACTAAAGTAATAATATAACACTTTTGGGGAGCCTGGAATATAAAGTTCATTAGTTCTAAGGTCAGCATTTTCACGCAACAGCCAAATTTTATTCACATCATCATATGCTACCTGCAAAAGACAGCTATAAAAACCAGGCAGGGGTTTTAATACTGCCATGACTAGTAAAGTTAGTAGTAGACACCAAAGAACCCTTACACATTTTTTAAACAAAATATACTAACCAAATAAAATTTCCCCAGGTTATTTTTCCTCTAAAGAGCATTGCCCTAGGCTTCTGGGAGATTTCACAGCAATTTTGAGCTGGAAAATGCTGGTGTATCAAGGGGTACATCAGTAGGTCATTTAAATATTGCTTTTCCTTTACAAATATTTGAACTTTAAAGATATTGCTTCAGATCTTAGAGGAGGATGCCATTCAAAGGAAAGAAAGATCCTCATGTTTAACCAAATGTTAAATATCTTTTATTTTACTCACCTGCACACTAAGATGAATCCATTTCTTCACAAGAATTCTCCCCAGTGTCATTACTTTTATTGGAGGCTGCAAACCATTTACTGTGCGATAATAAAACATGGTCTCTTTCTCAGATATTGTGAGTTTGAACACAATCTGCCCATCCACTGTCTTTTCTATAAGGCACCTTAGGAAGCAACCAAAAAAGAGAAAATGTTAGCACCCAACCCAAAGACATGCTAAGGCGTTGTGCACTAATGCGGTGTTAAAACAGCTCCAAAGACCACTCAAAGGTGGACACTGTGAATAGCGCCTGAATGTCATTATATTCAGAGCAAGCTTTATTCCAATTAGAAAGCCCATTTATTTAAAAAAAAAATAGAACTGTTATTTACAATATAGTCTTCAGAGCCTCCACACACTTTAATAGAGATGCATGATGAGACTGAACCAACTGAATAACTGAAGTGCTTGAATCAATCTGCAAAACTAACATTTAGCCTATTGGCTCATTAGTTCTGCTGCTATTTCTTTTACAGGAATCAGCAAAACACACCACATCCTGCTTGGGTCTTGAGTCACCAGCGCAAGTCTTTCTTTTTCTCTCTCTTCCTTTGTTTAATATAAAGAGAGTTTAGTGTCCACAGAAGGCTCTAAACTGCTAGTCCTGAAGTCAGAATTGCTCTATTCAATTCCCATGCTGAATGGACAATGGTAGTCTTCACTTACTTCATCACCAATAGGCCAGAGGCCAAAGCCAGCATCTGTCAGATGACCCGCCAGCTCTCCATGGCCTCAGAGCCCAACTGAGGCATAGGGATGTTAATGATCTTGGATGAAAAGTCACCCCATCTTCTAAGAACACAGTCAAATAATATTTTGATAAAATAGAGGAATGTTCAGAGAATTTCTAGGTTTTATATCAAGCTGGTTATAAAATTCTTTTTAAAAGTCATTTCTAGCCTTTTCCTAGAAGCCACTCTTTTCTCATCCTTTTAAATAGACATGTAGCATTTTTTAAATGTTTTTCATTTTCTATATTAATTTATGTTTAATATAAATTGTTTTATATTAATTATATTATCATTGCATATTTCTGGCCGGTCTGTACCCACTAAGCAGAGAGACATAAGTTTAAGCCTCATTTCTATCACACTTCAACCTAGCAAGTCAACTTTTTACAGTACAGAATATTATGGTTTGCTAGTAGCCCCCTGAATGGATTATTCCCAAACATCTGCTACTTAAGAACTATCACTGCCATTAGCCATTGACATCCTCCCAATTAACTACTAAAGATGCTCATCAACGTGCATCTCGTAGACAAGAACTCAAGAAGGTGGTGCATCCCTAGGAGGAGGATTTCGCCAGGTACTGGAGAAATCTGGGTCCTTTCTTCATCTTGCTGCCTCCTACTCAGCTCAGGCATCTCTGCACCCAATCCCAGAACCCCCTTCCTGCTCAAGATTTAAGATCTTTTATTTGTTGCTCAAGGTTAAGATCCTTTCTTTGTGCTCACTAACACACAGTGCTATCTTGGCAGTAACACCAATGTATGTTTTCCCATTAGGTCGTAAGTTTTCTGAGGATAGAAGCATAGCCTGGTGCGCAGAAGCTCCTCAAAAACTGATGTTAGAGATCAAATTGAGGAAGCATCTGAGAGGCAAAGGTAAGATTGGGTCAACCAAGACTTAATGCTAAAGAGGTTTTAAAGTGTTCCTTAGAAGGTATTTTTCACAAATTATTTATTTTCACTTGCCTTTATTTTTTGCAGAATATTTAATAGTCACTATTTTAGCCTATATTGTACCCATATTTGGGGATAAAGTTTTGAAAAGTATATTGTTGGTTTAGGCAAATAGGTTTAGTTGCCATAAAGGTTTTATATAAAGTAGAAGTATGGTTTTATAGAAATTCTACTGTGATTTTTTTTAACCCTTTGGTAGATGGATATTCTTAAGTCACTGGAATGAAAGTTTTCCTTTATTCCTTACCTCTATGTCTTAAAAATCTAAGAAGCATTTGCCTCTATTCATTTTTCTTGAGTTTAAATCTCCAAGTGAGAATTTAACCATTACTTGATAATGTATTTACCAAATGCAGGCTTATTTCCCCAAGCTTATGGAAAATGCATTTCTTAATATGTTATTGATTATCTTCCTTGCTATTTTGTTTGCTTGTAAACATACCAGCTTTGGTAGATAATGAATGTGAGGAAGGCAGGTAGCAAAATATTTAGGAACTGGATTTATTCCGCTCCTGGATAAACAATAATTGGATAATCCACGTCTTGTTTGTTTTACTTATCTAGTGCAAACACCCCGAAATTCCCCCAATTCCCATAGTTCTTTCAGTTTTGAGACTGGAAATGCCCTTGATACATGAACTCCTTAAACTAAACTATCTGCTGCCGCCTCTCTAAATAGCCCGCTGTCTTATTTATACAAAATCATACCCATAGAAGAATTTGGTAGAAACATATCCCTTGCAGAAAGCTTGGAAAAAATATTTTGCCCCAGCCATATTTGCCAAGAGACCATTTTTAAGACTCTTGGGACATTAGTAACATAAACTGAGTGGATTACATTTACTGACATTTCAAACAGTAAGAAAACAGGGGTTTTTTTTCTTCAGGGAGATACAGAGATAGAGATAATTGCTTGGGATTATTTTCATTCCAAATAAAACAAAGTGAAAATATGCCAACTTTCACTTGGCAAATTAAAGCTAAACACCAACTGCACGTAAGTCATATTTGCTTATGAGATAGAAGACTCTTCTGCTTTGTTTTACAAGTAGTTAGATGTTTGCGCTGATGCTCCATGCAAAGAAAACGTCACAAGGGGAAGGGCCAAAAGCCCTACAGGAAGACAAAAATAAGCCAAAACTGCCTTCCTTAGTCAGATTTCCAGATTGGCTCCAAGCACTCAGGGAAAACATGTCAGATGTCAGCATTAGAAACTATTACAGAAAGAAAAACAGGTGATTATATAAACTAACAAAAAAATGGTGTTAAATGAACCTAATCAAAACTCACTGAAGGCATTTCTATTGGGATCAGTGGCATAACTTTTCAGAGATAGGATATTACACAATTATTCAACTCATATTATCAGGCGTCCTCCATGAGTTAAACAAACCTCTCTTCCTGGGGAAACAGGACAAATAAAACGTAGTCCTAAACCCACAGAGGGCTATTTGCCCAAGGAAAATTTTATGCTCTAGTAGAGGCACATTGTTTATACAAACCTAGAGGAAGACTTTAAAATACCAATTTTTTTGTATTACCAGTCCCCATGCCTTAAAACTCACACTTGAGCCTAGTTTAGCCTCTGAAGGCTGAGACTAACGGTGTCTAAACTGCTAGGAAATAAATGAGACAGGTGTAAACGTGTCTTCCTGCAATGAAACTATTATAACATTTTATTTTTCTTGAGAGCTCACTTCATGGAAAGGAGAAAAGGTAATTATTTTAAGAAAAAAACATACGGAATGTAAACTTGAAAAGACTAACATAGGAATTGGTCTTCAACCCCACGAATGCCAAAGCGTCAGCCTTTATTTCTAGTTTGGAATGCAAGTTGCAATAAGTTTAGCTACTACTGATTTTTTAGGACCCCAGGAAAGCTTACACTCACTCTCCTACTTACATTACACCTTCCTGCTCAGGTTTCAACCACACAGCTAAAGTAAATGATGCCGACAGCCTCTGAGAGGGAGGAGAAGAAGAGCAATTCTTGCTATTTCCGAAAATTAAACTTGTGGAATTGCTACGGGAGTTGGGACGCAGATCACGCTTGTCTACTGTGATGCAGTTCCTGAGGCCTTCAGAAAAAAGTGCAGTGTAGGCAGGAGGTGAAGATCTGTATGGGCAATCCTGGATGCAGAGCCGCTGGGTGCAAAACTGAACCCTTGCAGCAGCCGCAGAGCTGTGACAAAAAGTGGTTCGGGCTGGGAGTCCACACGTCGCTTGGGTTGGCACGACAGAAACATTCTTGAAAGCCCCCACATTCTCCAGCCTTGGGAAAAGACCCTGTGAGTCGGCCAACCATACGGAAGCAAAATAGGCGAAGATCAATGTTTCAATGAAGTGAAAACAGAGGCGGAAGCCTAGAGAAAAAGCCAGGCAATTCATGTTTACAAAAGAGCATTCTCCTCCTGATAAAGCGTTCCTAAATAAATCATAAGGCCAACGCCGCTCGCCAGCAACACTTAAAGCAGGGTGCTTTAAGTAACGTTGAGATGCTCCATTTTCGGGAAACTGCAGACATGTTTTCACACCGCGGTAATACCAAAGACGTTCTTAGCAATGGCGAAGACATGAGTAGCAGCTGGTGTCTGGGAATCAAAAACAGAGTGTCAGGGAAAAGCTGCTACATTGTTAAAACTTAATGAGTTCATCCTAAGCATGAGGACTTGGAGCTCCTGACAATCATTATCAAACTTCTCAAAACACATTTGAAAGTGCACTGTCTAAAGTGAGATACTCATTCTGTTGGTAAATATCTTCATTTTACTGGGCAAACCAAGCTCTTTAGAAATCCACGGGACAGCCAGTTTTTCACATACACATATCAGTAGGTTTTATTCGTGTATCTCACTCCACAGTAATATCAGAGTGTTACTCTACCCCAGGGAATTAGCACTACCTATTTAACAAGGTAAAGAATTGTATAGATTTTCTTTACACATGCACGGTTGTTGTAGCACAGAGCTAACTTGAAGATGTCCAAAATAAAGCTGGGAAAGCACTTTGGGCCTTTCCCCCCCTTATCCCAGCATGTGCAGCAACTTTAAGCTCACCGTAAAGCTGATTAGAAACCCAACACCATCTGTCTGCCTATGCCCTAATATTTAGCAAACGCTTGTTAGTGTTTCTTCATATGACTACGTATTTGTAGGTTAAATATGGACCCCTAATACTGGGTAAGTAATTGTATTGATAAATAAGCTGAGTTACCATTTCTTTATTGCATTTCAACCAGTCCCCTCAGTGTGACAAATGGCTCTTCACAGGACCGCTGTCCCTCGTTGCCTGGCAACACTGTAGTAGCCCCGGTCACTTTTAGCAGACAGGCCGAAGCAGCAGGAATGCTGCAAGAAAGACTTGGGTGCCCGCCTAAAGGTATTCTGCACAGCAAACGCTCAGTTACCTGAAACTCAGAGCAGTCTGCACGGTGGCCCGCCTGGAACTGAGCTCCCCAAGCTTTCAGCAGGTGCCTCATGCGGTGGGAGGGGCCTGGATGGGGCCAGGCAGGCATAATTTTAAAGCAGCAGTACACTTTATCCTGTAATCCCTTTTGCCCCACCTCTTCCCTGCTTTTATGCACCTTGGTCCATTTTATCATGTAATCAAAATGATCTGCCACTATTAGACAGTAGGGTAATGAGTAATTTCCATTTTCTTTTCTGGGGTTTAAAATGGGATTCTAAACCTTTACTGGACTGTTGCCCTAAAATCTTGGTCCACAGATGGAAGTTTCTGTTGACTCTTCAATTGTTACCACATTCTTCATTCACCCTGGGATACCCTCTCCTAAATATACATGCTTCTCTCGATTAGGAGAAGCATTTGATGTCATCTCTAACTGTTGCATTTGGAAGAGCAGGGATTTTAATTAAGCCACAAAAGCAGCAGAACTGCTGACTTTTTAGCTGCCTAATTGGATATGAATGTCTGCATTTCTGAATGCATGTCTGATGTCAATTCCACATAGCTTCTATTACATCCAAAACTCTCTTTTCTTCCATCTGGGATATCTCATCCTAGATGAGAAAACATTCTAAAGCCAATGATGCTTCTGTTTCTCCATTTTTATCTTAAGAATGGACAACTCACTAGGAAAGCAACTAGTTAATTGTGGTTTTCTTAAAGTTATCATATTTAGAGAAATGTTTAGAAATGAAATAAATGTTTTATGCTGTTTCTTGTAAGTAAGGCAGCCAAAGATAAACCCCAATTGTTGTCTCTCAGAGTTCCTTTAATTTCTCTCTCATTAGATGTTGAAACCACAACCCTTTTACACATCAACTTTATCAATAGAACTAGGTGTTTCCAGAGGAAACCCTCACCTTTTGTCAAAATATCCTATTTTCTACCTGTTGATTATTAAATCCTGTCAGGGAAAATTTTATTAAAAACAAAATTTTATGTCATACCAGCTAGTATATAAGGGCTTCTGAGAATTTAGGAAAATATGCTTCCAAATAGATATATAAGATACAATGAATTGACAAATGGATTATTCAGACCTGCTATAAAACATGCAGCCTTTAAACAAATTATTTAATGGCTGGCTTATCCTTATGCCTTGTGAAACCAAGGACTAATATTATTTTAAATTGTGGTGCTCCAGTGTATCTTTTGGGTCACCATTCTGAGGATAAGAATTCTTCTACCACGTAACAACTCCTGCTTTGTAGTAGGAAGTCATGACTCAAAATAGACCATCTAAGATTAGCTACTCTGCTCCACATTCAGAAAGTCTGCCTGTAATTTGTAAAGGCAGACAATGGATTGACGATTGACATACCCTTCAACTTTTGCAATTCAGCACTATCAATCCGCAGGACACATCTGGTAAATGAACTGGGCACCAACAGTTCCACCACCCCATAAGTGCCTGAGAAATAAGTACAGGAAAAAAAAAGTAAAAGCATGCTGGAGGAAAGTTTAGCTAAACATAAGTAGCTGTGTGCTGTTATTTTTGTCATAGATTTCTGTGAATTCAGTTCTCCTGGTGCGGACCAGTTTGGGTGAGGTTAGATGGTCTGATCTGGCCTCACTCCCTCATCTAGCATTTGGCTTGACAGTCATGAGAGTTCATACTAGGCTCATTTTCTGCTTATTAGCAGAAAAATTCCCAGCAGCACGAGATGGGAGGCTCCAGTGTGCAAGTATTTTTCAGGCCTGTACCTGCATCTCATTTGCTGATATTCTGTTGGCCAGAGCGAGTCACATGAAGAAGCCCAAATTCAAAGGCCATGAAACAGACTCCAGTTTTCAAAAAAAAAGAAAGCAACGGCAAAGTCACATTGCAAAGGGGACACACATGTGAATGAAAAGAATCTGTGAGCATTTTGCAATCTACCAGAGAGTTCTTAGGAATTTATTGGAATAGTTGTAAAAGATGTCATGTCACACTGAATCAGTATTTCCTTGTTTTGAAAAAGTCAAGAAAAAGTTGTATTAGACAATTATAAGAAAGTTCATACTCACTCTGGAAAGCTTACTAGAACCTTAGTTTTTCAAGCACTTGAGCGTTAGCTTCTGTTGATGGACAAAATCTAGGTATCCTCTATTTTGGGGTTTCTACTCTCTGACTTAACTGATCAATAAAAAAATCAGTGGGCATATAATAAATTACATTAGATATGAAAATAGAGGTATGACATACAAGTATAGTGTGATTACAAATACAGGAAAATATTGGAAGGGATTCAGATGGTAGAGTAGAAAGATCCTCAGCTTATCTCCTTCCACTGACACATCAACATCTACAGCTACATACAGAATAACTATCTCTGAAAATGAGCTGAAGCCTGACAGAACAGATCTTACACAACTAAACATGAAGAAAAAGCCACATCAAGACAGACAGGAGGAGAGGAGATGCAGTTTGCCAGGACCCCCCACCTCCAGCATGGTTACCTACAAGCAGGAGGGATATCACAATCAGAGAGGCCCTTGCTAAGGAACAAGGTGCTGGAGCCCCACACTGGGATCCTGCCCTGGGAAGACAGGCATCCATTACTGTTACTTCTGGCTTCGAAAACTAGCAGGGCTATGTCCAGGAGAGCTGGAGGACAGAAGGAAACCAAGACTCCACTCTTCAAGGACTTATGCACCATCTCACTTACTCTGACTCCCAGTGCAGAGCCGCAGTTTGAGAAGTGCCAGGGTTACATATGAAAGAGATCCACTTACTACTACCATGGCATGTGGGAGAGAGGCAGGGGTCTGCTGGAACATTTTCCAGGGATGGAAGCAATGGTGGGCATGATTTCCTTTTCACTTCCCTTCTACCTAGCTGGCCTAGTGCTGGTGGGCACAATTTCTGATACTTTCTCCTGTGCTAGCATTGTCTCCCCACTCTAGCCTTTCCAAATGTACTTAGCAATAAATACATATATATACCATATATATAATATAATAGATATTGAGTAATAAATTTAACCAAAGAGATGAAAGATCTATACACCAAAATTATATACTTCAAAGAAAGAAATTGAAGAAGACATAAATAAATGGAAAGATGTACAGCATTCATGGATTGGAAAAATTAATATTGTTAAAATGGCCATACTACCTAAAGCAATATACAGATTCAATGCAATCCCTACCAAAATAAGCATTTGTCACAGAACTAGAACAAATAATGTAATATTTGTATGAAACTGCAGAAGACCCCAAATAGCCAAAGGAATCTTAAGAAAGAACAAAGCCAGAGGTATCATGCTTCCTAATTTCAAACTAAAAGCTATTATACTAAAAATATATTATTAAAAACTATTATAGTCAAAATGGTATGTTACTGGCACAAAAACAGACACATAAATTAATGGAACAACATAGAGAATCCAGAAATAAACCCACACTTATAAGGTCAATTAATCTTTTACAAAAAGGCAAGAACATACAATAGGGAAAAGACAGTTCTTCAGTAAATGGTGCTGTGAGAACTGGATAACTACATGCAAAAGAGCAAACCTTGACCACTTTCTTACACCATATACAAAAATAAACTCAAAATGGAGTAAGGACTCAAATGTAAGGCTAGAAACCATAAAACTCCTAGAATAAAACATAGGCAGTAAGCTACTGGACACCAATATGAGCAATCTTTCTTTGATCTGTATCCCCAAGCAAGGGCAACAAAAGCAAAAATAAACAAATGAGATTATATCAAATTAAAATATTTTGCACAGGAAAGGGAACCATTAATAAAACAAAAGGGCAACCAACTGAATGGGTGAAGATATTTGCAAATAATATAAGCAATAGGGGTTAGTATCCAAACTATACAAAGAACACATACAACTCAATATCAAAACAAATAATCCAATTGAAAAATGAGCAGAGGACCAAATAGACACTTTTCCAAACACATACAGATGACCAATAGACACATGAAAAGATACTCATCACTAATCACCATGGAAAGGCAATCAAAACCATAATGAGATATTACCTCAGACATGGCAGAATGACTATTACCAAAAAGACAATAAATAATAAGTGTTAGCAAGGATGTAGAGAAAAGCAAACCCTTATGAACTGTTACTGGATATGTAAATTGGTACATCCACTATGGAAAACAGTATGGAGATTCCTCAAAATTTAAAAATAGTGTTACCATGCAATCTTGTAATTCCGCTTCTAGGTATGTATCCAAAGAAAACAAAAACACCAATTCAAAAAGATATAGGCACCCCTATGTTCATTGCAGTGTTATTTATAATAACCAAGATGTGGAAGCAATGTGTTCATCAATAGATGAATAAAGAAAATATTGTATAAATGTACAATGTACTATATTATATAATAAATACTATTATATTTATTATAAAAAATGAAATTTTGCCATTCGCAACAACATGGATGAACTTAGAGGGTATTATGCTAAGTGAAGTAAGTCAGACAGAAAGCCAAATAACATGTAATTTCACTTATGCATAGAATCTGAAAAAGAAAACAAAACCATAGATAAAGGGAAAAATCCGATGGCTGCTAGAGGGAAGGGGTTTGGGGGATGGCTGAAATAGGGGAAGGTGTTTCAAAGGTACAAAATTCAATTGTAAAATAAATAAATAAGATTGTGTGTGTGTGTGTGTGTGTGTGTGTGTGTGTAGTTAATATGTAACAATTTTGTGCGGAGACAAATGGCAGGAAGAGTCATTGTGGTGAATACTGTGTAATATATGTAAATGTTGAATCACTCTGTTATACACCCGAAACTAATATAATATTGTACATTAAATACAGTTTAAGAAAAAAGAAAAAATATCATAGTTCTATGAGAATTAAACTTGAATTCTTAGATGAATTGGACAAATTCCTAAAAAGATTTCCAATCTAAGCTGATTGAAGAAGAGGGAGACCTGAAAACATCTC